GTCCGTTGTAATTAAATACATTAAAACTACTGTATATTTCCTTCTAGATCCACCACGCGTACCCATCATTGGTCATAGTCTGATGACGTTCCAAATAAATTCCGAAGATGCCCTAACCCTTTTTGTTAAACTCTGCGCTAAATACGGTTCAGTGCTATCTGTACTTTTCGGAACACTAGCTAATATATTTTTGACAGATCCGCAAGACCTAGAGGTTATCTTAAGCAACCCTGAACACAGCGACAAACCCGCAGAATACAGGTAAATAAATCAAAATAAATCATTTTCCACGCGGAATATAGTCCAGATAAACACGGTAATGTTAAGATGTCAAGATAATGTTCAAATAATGATAGAAAAGTGAGTTTTTATTGTCATTTTCTCGTGATTTTCTTGTCACCTGGACATCATTACACTTTTATATTCGGTTTCAGTTGGATCCTTAATCAGAGTGAACCTATTTAGTTTTGCGTTTCTTCACACTCAAAAGCGCCTGCTGCGCTTGATGCGCCAATGAATTTCAATTCTACCTACATACAAAATTATCCACAACGCTATAGATGCTTTAAACCATGGCTCGGAGACAGCATACTGTTCAATAACGGTGCCAAGTGGCTAAAAGAAAGACAAACGATTTTAGCCACATTACGCATGCAGATCTTGAAGAAACGCGTGCCGTTATTTTATGAGAACAGCCAAGATCTGGTGAGACGACTTGCGCAAAATATCAACAAGCGATTTAATTGCCATGAACATTTATCGGTCGCAACTTTTAATATGTTAATGGAAGCGGAAGTGGGGATAAGTAGAAAAAAGGTTGAAGACATCAGTTTTAATTATACAACGGCCGTGATAAAGTAAAAGTTTTTATTTTGTTACTTCGTACCTACTACACTTTGTTACTTTGAACCTTCGCATATAACGTTTTATTGTCCCGTTTTTTAAACGTCGCAGACTGAGCGAGATTGTGCATAAACGACAGATCAACATGTCATTACAATCAGATCTGTTGTTCCGTTTTTCGAAATTCGCCAAGCTGCAGCAAGAGCTGCTCCACACCGTCCACTCAGCGGCGAGGTTAGTGATCAAAGAGAAATGGAAGGACATCGAAGAAAAGCAGTTCAAAATAGACATCAAATCGAAGCTGAAAATTTAACCGAGAACGCAGAAAACGGCATCAACACGATCAATTACATGATGCATTATGCGAGAGATGATCTGGACGATATCGAGAATGTTGATGTGAGCGAGAAAAAGCAACTGCATTTCTTAGAGATGTTTATGGACATGAGAAAGAATGGAGAAATGACCGACAAGGAGATTTTGGATTTTGTCAACTCGATCTTGT